ATCAGTTTTTTTTTTTTTTTTTTTTTTAATTGCCAAAGGATGTTTGCGCTTGGCAGAGAGAGACCAAGAAATGGTGGGAGAGGTAAAGAACAGAAAGCACCTTCCCCTTCCGTAGAGTGTGGTCATGCTACAATCACTTCTCCTCCATTTCTCCATTTCGTTTGGATTTGGGGCACGCACACATACATGCACAATGTGTATTTCAAGCTGACAGTGCCAGGATTAGAACTGCAGTTGACATTATGGGATCTGGCTCTCTTAACCACTGTGCTGAAGGCTTGCCCACAAATAAAGGCTGTTTCTGCTATCCCTGCCACAGCATAGTTGTTTCCAACACAGTCTACTTCATCTAAAACTGCATTGCTCAGTTCAGTAGACATTAATCATATGTAGCTATTTAAATCTAAATTAATTAAAATGACATGAATTAAACATTTGGTAGCTTAGTCACACTATTCATGTTTAAAGTGCTCAATAGACAGATGGGCTATGCAATACCATATTGGATAGTGCAAATATTAAATATTTTCATCAATGTATAAATTTCCATTAAATAAGGCTAATTTAAATAATCCTTTATTAAATATAAACAATAGCCTATAATTATATAATGCAACATACTTCTGAATTATCTTTGATATAGCATGTATATGTGAAACTCAGTACTGGGTTCATAAGATTGTTGCCAGGTGACTGGCAGGTGGCATGGTGGTTTTGGGTGCTGGACTCTCACGCAGTCGACTGTGGTTCAAGTCCAGACCTGGTGGGTAGAAAAAACTGACAAGTGATTGATATTTCAAATAATGGGTCAATTTCAATATCTCTTTTATCTGATATATTATTATATCAGTCTATTATTTATTTCTGCTGAGATAACTCAAGTATTTTGTGTTAAATGAACTTTCTCTATTTTCATTTTCAGTTTAAATTTCTACTTTTGTCTGTGATTAACTAAACTCTTGCAAATATGATATTATATTTATATTAAGAGAAACACAAAATAAAATTTGCAATTGAGTTTTTAACTGGTCAGGCACAGATTCTAAAGTCTTAAGCTTTTAAAAACGGATGCCATGTGATTCTTTATAAGTCCATTTTTATCACTAAGCCACTCAGGAAGTATAGAATCCTTAATACATGTGTATATATACCATATTGTGTTCTGTGTCCTACTTGGCATTAACTAAAGCGAGATCAGCAAACTGTCATAATTTCTCTAGGACTATCTAATCCAGTTTTAAGACTTAAGAAGTGTGATATTCAAACCTCAATATTTTAGAACTGGAAAAAAAGAAAGACTTAGGAATTATGAGTTCTAATTCCATCCTTGAATTACTAAGCCACTTATTAAATATCTTTCCAAGAAGATAAAAAAATGCTGAAATAAAATGCTATGATAGTTCTTGATGAAGACTTGGATGATTTCATATTTTTCTTTATTGCCTTAATCTAAGAATGTGTCATGAAAGAGTTCTATAGATATACCTTAAGGTGGTTATTCAAACGCAGTTGAATTTCTGTTAGAATTTTAGGATAAAGCTAAGAAGTATGACCACTTGGAAGATGAAAACAAACAAGGATGCCTCCAATGCATATGTTTTTGTTTTCTTTTCTGGAATAGATGAGAACTGTTGTTTTAAATTTTCATTTTTAACATATGGAGGCAGTTTTCATTTGAAGTTTCTCTTGGGGTGCTATTTTGCCTGTAAATTCTCCTTCCACATGAAAGGATATTTTTTTTTTCAAAAAATAACAGGAAAAAAGATATAAGAAGAACCAAAAGGAAGATAGAAACTCCCTGTTAAATTGGGTGTTAGGTGTGCTTATCTGGGTGAAAAGAGTTCCTGCATAAAATGTAAGTGATGCATACTGCAGGCCACATGGATTCTGTCCTTTCACTTGGCAATGTCCCTTAGTGTCATGCTAGGAGTTCATTTGTGAAAGTGCACCATTTCAAACTCCATCCCTATTAGGGCATATGTTTCAAATGCCAAAGGGGGAAATGTGCTATAATAAAGCCCAGGTGTCTATTGGTATGATTTTAAATTGCTTAATTCAACAACTATGCTCTGATTAAATGGTATCTATTTTTACCCAAATTTGGCAGCAAGTCAGGAAAGAGTTCTATCAAAAAATACTAACATCAGTGTTCAAAGATAGGACCTCAGTAAAATCTGCAAGAGACAAACTCTATATTCTTGAAACGTGTATTTATTTTTAACTCACAAGCATGCTTATTATTTAAATCACAGAATAGAGTACTGTTTGATACTTTTTTATAATTGGATTTCTTCATATAATAAACATTTGGCTTAAAAACCTCTGCCATTTGCCTTCGAAACAACTTTCTTACAGTACTTGTAACAGAATGACCTTTTAAGAGATGCAATAAAATCAACAGTGACAAAAAAGAAATAAAAGACTATTGATGTTATATATTAGTTAAATTATATATATATATATGTCCAGCAACTGTAGTGCAGCAGTAACCAAGTGCCCTGCCAGTCCAGAATCCATTTGGCAACCACAGGCTCACATCCTCAGGACAGCCTGAAAACGTGGCCAAGCACATGTGTTAGCACCCAGGATTCTGAAGAGCTGAAAGCCTGGGAAAGGGGGGGGGGTTGATGGTGTGACAAGAACCTATTATGAATGTTTCTTTCTGTCCCTCCCTGTCTCTTCTCTTTCTTTTGTATGTGCACATGCTTTCCATCATAAAAAATAATAAGAACATTTGGAAAAATGTCTACATTATTTTTCCCTATTGATGTCATACTGAAATTCCTAAAACATGGATAGATATTATGCTTTCTTTTAACCATCTCTAAGGGCAATACCTGGCACCTACTGGATGATGTTTTTCTATTTACAAAGTGGGCAATCCTGTGTACTGCAGTATGCAATCAATATGCAATGGATTTTCTTCATTATCTGTACTCCTTTTATTTATTTATTTATTTATTTATTTATTTATTTATTTATTTTTAGAGGTTTTTGCTACAGGGTGTGTGTGTGCTCTCCAGACAGACAGAGAGAGACAGAGAGTCCGAAAGCGAGAAATCAACCCCCAGGACGGATGACCACACTGCAATCCTTCTCCTCCATTCTCCTCTCAGGATCTTAGGCACTCATGCTTATGCGCCCGGCGTGAGTTTAAGCCACCGGATCCGGGACTCGAACCGCGGTCAACTACATGGGAATCCAGTGATATAGCCATTATGCTAACTGCTGGTCCCCTGTACTCCTTTTAGACCTTGAACATTCTACTGTTTTAGAATTGTGTTTCTTTTGTTGAATTCCATAAATAAGTAAAGATCAATCTGCTCACATAACCATTCTTCTCATCTGAGTGTTGAGAAAAGCTTTGTATCTAACTCTCCAGACTTTTTACTACAATACTTTTTTTAAGCTATAAATTTAACTCAATCATTATAGGATATATATTATATCTGATAGGACACTAACATTACAAGTATCATTATGCTACATATGAAACTACTAGTTAAATTGTATGTAAGTGCTAGAATGCATTCTAGTCATGGAGTGTCCACTTTTAGAAAGCTCATGTATTTGTCAGATAAAGGAAGCTAATGATACTCCTAAAATTTGCGTATGATTTCAGTTTCATTTCTTTTTGTCCTATTGTAATTATTTAAGAATTTGTATTTGTTGGGGCCGGCAGGTGGCATGGTGGTTGGGATGCTGGACTCCCACATGACTGACCGTGGTTCAAGTCCCGGACCTGGCAGCTTGCTTTCTCACTCCACCCTCTTCTTTCTCTCTCTCTTTCCTCTCTCTCTTGTCAAATTCAAATAAAAATTAAATAAATAAAGTTCAATAAAATATTAATAAAATAATTATTTAAAAAAAGAATTTGTGTTTATTATTCAGTCCGTCTACGTATTTGTATTATAGACCATGGTTAACAAGTCTAACTCTACCTTCTTTTCCATAAATAGAATGGGAATCTGTGTTAATGACTCTTAGATTAGATGTTTATAAGAATCTCCTATAGAGTTTTAATTACTTTTGTGTATATATATATATACACACACACACACACACACATATATGCACGTACTCATACTCTAGAGATTTTCACCCAATGGGGAGGGATTGGATTTAGTCATCTATAAATTTACAAGTTCTATAGATTTTATTCACTCCTGCTCTGTGTCCAGAGGATCTCTAAGCCTGTGCTAGAGTTTACCCAAACACTGCTGGCTGTTTTTATTTTTTCCCCCTTAGATGACTACACAAAATGTAGCAAAGAACATCATAGAAAGTCAAAGTTTTGGATATATTTTTAATTTTTCCTAAACTTTATAAAATATTTTATGGTTAAAAGCAGTCATCATATAAAAAGAGAGCATAAAATCACAGGATCTCCAGATTTGAAAGGACTTATCAACAATTGAGCAGAATTTTAACAGCTATGTAAGCCAATACTGTTCCCTGTGTTCCTCCTCACCTGTTCTCTTGAGTTTCTAGAAAACTTGTTCAGTACTTTCCTAATGTGGATATATGTTTTTGCATTGTATCATATTTATTTCTATAGACGACTCATTTTCCACATTTGACTCATGGTTCTCTTCTTTTTCCTTTATTTTCTTAGAAATTCTGCCCCTAATTGTTTGACATACAAAAAACACCAGTACTATATGTCTTGATTGTTTTCTGTATTATAATTTATAGTTTATTTTCTTTCAAACAGGAGCAAAATTTATTGGAACATTCCCCATACCAGATACCTACAATCCAGATGATGATAAAATATATTTCTTCTTCCGTGAGTCATCTCAAGAAGGCAGTACTTCTGATAAGACCATCCTTTCTCGAGTTGGAAGAGTTTGTAAGGCAAGGAATATTTATTTATACTTAAGGTGTATGTGTATATGTGTGAAACAATTAAAATTATGCAATGTTAGATAAAAGTTAATGTTGTATTTTCTATAAGTCATAGGATACATTGGTACTATTATACATGTGTAATTTTTTTTAATTGCCAGAGAATGTATGCATTCAACAGAGAGAGAGAGAGAGAAGAGAGACACAAAGAGAGAGGGGAAGTACCACCAAAAGGGGTGTAGATGAGCTGCAACTCCTTCTCCTTCACTCCTCTTTCTCATTGGAATTTGTTGGGAATGCATCTACATGATCCTGACATGATTTTCTAGCAGCTGTGCAGGGATTGGAACCACAGTGGGCAATGTGGGATCTGCCAATTAACCAGATGGCCAATGCTGCGTATATAATTTTTGAGAGCCAAAAGTATAAAGAAAAAGGAAAGCACTCACTGTTGCCCTGGTATGAGTTATACCTCTTTGACAGCTTACCCCTTTATTGATGGACTGTTGCTTTGCCAGTCATTGCTATTCATGGTAAGTGCACTGACCTGATCTGAGGAGGTTAAAATGTGTTTATGCAATATTAAGTAATCTTACCGTTGAAACTGTAATTTAACATAATCACTTAATATAAGCACTAACAAAACCATATTCTCTGTTTATCAAAACATGCATCACATATGCAAATATATTTTACATGGATCAAATAAATGAAAATATGGTTATATCATAACTATGTTAAATATTTTTAGACCATTTCTCTATCTATCTATCATCTATCTATCTATCTATCTATCATCTGTATATCTCTTTACTTGGATTTGTCTCCACTGAAATAACATTTTAAATAAACAAACACCTTCAGCATAAACTCTGTTACTGAGAGCGGAAGAGAGTGTTAAATTAATACTTACTCTCAGTGGGAAGCTTTCTTTGGTCTTGTACAAACCCATTGTAGTCCATCTGAGCCTATCACTTTTTGTTTCCATCTGTACCCTCAGGCTTTTGAACACTTCCAGGGACAGAAACACAAACCATCATTACACTTAAAAGTGCTAATGAAAACATGGCTTTTGAATAAGGCCAACTTGTGAGCCCAGATCATTCTTTACCTAGTGTCCTAGCCAATAATGGTGTCTCCCATGGATCCCCTCACCCCCAGGGGACAGAGTCTCTAAAAGCATCCTTATTCTTTCAGAGTCTAAGAATTCACAGTAATTTCTCTTGAAGGCTCTTACTTAGAGATGAATGGCTGTTGCTTGAAGTAGTCATAGTGTGTTAGTGAACTGAACCATGGCTTGTGGCAACAGTATCCTGACCCTCCAAAGCTGTTCTGTAGATTGGCATTATTTGTATAAAAGAGCTATGTTAAATATGTCATACGGGATTTACAATCACTTAAGTGTATTTCAAGAGTCACTTTCTGATGAACATACATAACAAGTAAGTGCATGTTTTGTGAGCCAGTTCAATGCTTATTTCTTGATAGATCTCATCCATTTGAGAGAAGTTAATTTATAATAAAGTAATGTTTTGAATCCCAGTATAAAGATTTCAAAAGTTGATCTTAGAGGTGGAAAAATAGATCAAAGAAAAATTGAGTTGCCCTACTTGTAAATTTCTATACTAATTATGTAATCTAGACTTTAAGCCATTGCCATGGAACATTTTATTTAAATTATGAATAAACCCCTATAGAACTAGAAAGGCAGGGAAAATTGTGATGAGTCTTCCCACAACAAAAACGTCTGAGACCACACAGCAAGGTTTTGTCATGCTATTGTTCTTGGTTAAAAAGCTAACAAATTGTGATATCAATGAGGACTTGTGATGAATGAACTTAAAAAAAAAATTACAGGCTCTTCACTCATTAGAGTATCTCTTTACTCAATCACTTTTTTACATAAACACCATCTTCAGAATTCCTCAATATACATATAACCTGTTGGTCAAATGTTCACAGTATTTAGCTCTAAATGCTTTTCTCTGCAATTTCTTCATTATAGCACATGCCCTGCTCATGATTCTAACTTTTACTTAATAATTTAGGTTTAAACTGAGGCAAAATAATGAGAACTTCCAAGCTGAGATGTTACTGACATTAAAAAATGACTTGAACTCTAAAAAAACATACGTTATGTTCTTTAAAACAAATTTAACAATATCATAGGGCTTCAGTATCATTGTTGCTATCATATATTATTTTTACATACAACATATTCTTGTGACTCTGTTTGTAAATTATTATTCCTTTTCTTTTTTTACCCCCAAAATACTGTTATAATAATTTTTTAAAAATTTTGATAAATAATAACAGAAGCAGAATTGAGTTTGACCAACATAAGCAAAGATCTAAGAAAGAAGACAGTGTGTTGGAGAGAATTAAGAGTAAACTGCTTATATTTAACTAACTATACAAAGTTTTTACTAACATAGAAGTCCTCTATACTATTTATTTCACAATTGTATTTTTATTGTCCATTTTTAGAAATATTTAGGTTTTTAATTTTTTCCCATTGTCTATTTGTTTAAGTTTATTTTTTCCTTCTGTAATCAAGAGAGGCAGAAGTAAAGAGAGGGACAGAGAAAGAGAGGTATCACACACTCTTCAAATCATGATCTACCACCAGCTTCAACTAACTGAGATCATGGGCAAACTTGTGCCCAGCATGTTCATGGACATCTCAGAATGTGAACTCAGAACCTTCCCATGTGGGCCAAACTTGCAGAGCATTATATTATACTGAGCTACCATCTGGCCCTATTTTTATTTTTCACTGAATACTTTGGCAAATTGAAAATGTGCTGACAATTTAATAGCTCTCTATGTCTTCACCTACTAAATCAAACTAAACTAAAAATGCCTTGTTGGGGGACCAGCAGGTAGCATGGTGGTTAAGGGAGTTGGACTCCCACATGGCCAGCCACAGTTTGAGTCCTGGCCTGCTTTCTCAGTTCCCACACCCCCCACCCTGTCCCCCAGTCAAATTAAAAAATAAATAAATAAATTTAAATAAAATAATTCTTTAAAAAAGTTTTATTGGTCTATAAAATGTTTGACAGATGTTTTGGTAATCGACAAACATAATACAAAAATAATTAAAGGATGATTTAGTGAACAAGGGTGAACCTTTTCAATTTTGTAACCCATCCAGTCATTATTTTATTTTATACTTTATTATTTCAACCATAGCAATAAATATAAAATAACTTCTGGGTAAAATGCACAACATTAGGCAATTAGTGTGGATAATAACCCACTATTCCTTTTCTTTAAAAACTCTTCATGTAGTGAGGATAGTTGACATAAACAGGTGACCATAATATAACATGACAGAGGTGGGAGCTGAGAACTCTCAGCTTTCAGTGAAGTTCAGAAACATTATATGAAAGATCTAAGAAAGAAGACAGTATGTTGGAGAGAATTAAGAGTAAACTGCTTATATTTAACTAACTATACAAAGTTTTTTACTAACATAGAAGTAAAAACTATGTAGAGTATTTGTTTGGTTGGTTGTTTTTTATTCTGTTCTTGCTAGTGGGTGTGTACGCTTGCCAGAGAGAGATAGAAAGAACAAGATAAGAAAGCATCTTCCATGACAGTGGTCATGCCATTCATAATTCCTTCCTATTTTCCTTTTCCTGCTTTCAGAATTTTGAGCACTGTGCACACTCTCACCAGAATATTTCTCAAGTTCCAGGTCTGGGACTCAAACTACGGTTGGTCATGTGGAATTCAGCTGTGTTCACTATCAGGACACTTAACAAGACCAAAAAGAAATGGTTTTTGTATTTTTTTCCTGTGGGGGAACTGGACATTATGTAAGGGAATGGAGAACAGACATTTCAGGGAACATCATGACAGAGTATATTTGGGTCATGGAACAGTGAAATCTTGTTAAAGCTATAATTCAAGGAGTGTGTATAAGAAGTAATGCCTTTTGAGAGAAGAGTGGCAAATTATATGAGAAGAAGTCTTGTTTCCATGTCAGTAAGTGTGAACTCTATATTGTAGACAATGACAAGTGCTTCAGACAAAAGTGACAAGATAGGTACATATATTTAGCAGCCATTTGAAGAGTGTGTCTGGATTGAGAATTATTTTTTGACTTGTTAGGTCTTTCTCTAAAGATAACGGGTCTGGCTCTATGGCATAGTAGTAATGTATTCAAGAGAAGCCATACCTGTGTGGCAACCTCAGTTCGAATCTCTTGCCTCGTCGGCCTAAAACACACTGGGTATGACAAGGGCAAATGCCCATATCAAATGGGCTGGATGCCAGGTGGAAGGGTATCTTAATGTGACAGACCATGGGGAGGGTGTTACCTCTCTCTCTCTCTCTCACATGTGAATGCATGTACCTTATCATAATTAAAAAATACTTTAAATAATAAAGAGACAAGGGTAAGTTCAAGAGATATAAGGGGAATCTTTAAAATGTTTATGGAAAGTGTGAATTATGAAAACACTATACATAAATTTCAAAATGTTTTAAAATGAACCTGTATTTAAATTCTAATTTCTATGAACTTTTTCAAATCCCCTGAACTCATTGAAATCAATGAGTACCTATGCTTAGATTTCCCAAAAAGTCTTAAGGTTCTTACTACTCTTTTATTAATTGCTTTGTAGAGGCTAATACTGTTTGATAAGACTTTCTATAATAATGACCATGTTCTATATTATTACTCTTCAATATAGTAGCCATGTTGCTATTCGTGTTGAAACATAATAGTATGACTGAAGAAAGGGAATGTGTAATGCATTTTCTGTTCCAATCTGTCCCAGAGACTTTGATTATATACCTTGTAGACATGTTCTCCCATATTCTTGGTAATTATTTCTAGAAGATAAGGCACAGGTTAGAAAAATGCACAGAGACACATCCTAATAGGAGATGGGAAACACAAAAAAGAACTTATGAGTATAGATTTTATATTTGGATATATTAAATTTTGTGTGGCTTTGGGATATACTGGCATAATAACCAGTTGAAAATATAAACCCAAG